TATTGCACAAACTAATCGCAAAAGCAATCGCAGATCGTTAACGACTTGCGATATCTTATAATTAGGTGATGTGGCGTAGATTACAGATTACAGATTACAGATTACAGATATATTCAGACAAGGTCCTCTCAATAGTGAGGCTTTTCACATGTCCACGTCATGATAATGTGATACAAAACGAGGAACAGTGTGCAGCACGCATAATTCCCACACACGCACCCATACATGCTATTGCTCATGTCTGTTGCTTAGACAGCAGCACCTTTCGGATGTTCGCCCGGTACGACAATGTCCCTGGTTCTACTCCAAGTTCGTTCATACGAGTCACACCTCGGTAGCACAATCTACGTCTTCCCGACTCCGTTCGAATGAAGGGGAGGGTGAGGTAGCTGGCCTGCCTAGTGTTGTGCCGGTGCCGCTGGCTAGCCCGCTGCCCCAGCGTACCTTTGAGGTACTCCGGCTGCTCCGACACAAAGATACACTCGACAGCACTCACTGTGTGGTATGTTACCAAATCCCTGGCAGTCAACCACTTCAGCTGCTTGATGACAGCCGCCACGCTATCACGTCGTCGCCGACCGGACACAACGCGTGCACAAAAGTTTATAACTTTTTGCAGCCGTCCTAACTGCACCTCACCACACGAGCCGTACACCGACAGACAGTACCGCAGCACAGATACAACCAGGGCTTCAACTATCGGCTTCAGTGCTGACCGCGGTATAACGTGACGAGCGTGCAGTAGCGCTGTCAGCATCCCGGTACATTTCCGCGCCACACCGTCTACATGGGACACAAAGCTGAGGTGACGGTCGATCGTCACTCCTAGATTTTTAACAGTTTCTGACTCTGTAATGGTGGTAGAGCAGAAAGTCAGCGTGACAGGCGGCAAATTGCGAAGCATCGCTGGGGTACCGATCACAAGCATCTGTGTTTTCGCAGCATTAACCCTCGCCCGCACATGGGGGGGGGGGGGTTGCCACCCCCCCCCCCAGGTAGTCTTTCTGCTCTGCACTCAACATGTTTAGAACTAGAAGGCTGATTTTTCGTATAGCTGCTCCTCTATCCTTTCTTGATGTCCACTGAAAATTTCAAGTTTCTGTGATTTTTGGTTTCGGAGATATGACCTTGTTTCTCAGGTCATGTCATGACCCAAATGGCCAATTCTCAACATCTTGCGTTTGCCATGGGCCTTGTGAGCTTTTGACACCCTGATTTCGGCCTTTTTTGCCAGTCTTACCTCCCACCTATCATGGAACATGTTGTTCGACGATGTACAGGGGTCAAGGTCAGGGTCAAGGTCAACCTAGGTCATCTAAGATAATTGCGTTTTAGGCAAGCCGAATTTACTTTTTGTGAAGTTTTTTGACTGCATTTTTGGTAAAAGCTTCTCAGATCATGATTTCGTGTAATATGGACCCAAAAACAATCGGTGCACACATCAGTATACGCACAGACACACACAGACATACAAACACATATAATTGACCTTGACCTAACTTGACCTGAAATGACCTCAGCAGCAAAATTCTGGTCGGGTAGTGTGACAAAGAGGTTCTAGCTGGCTTGGCACCAGAAAACAGCATCGTCATTGGTATTTGATAAGCAGCGCACTTGATATCCAACGGTGACCCAAAACAGCAACATTTTTTAGTTTGACCTGACCTGGAAGGTCAATGACTGACCTGAGAAGGTAAAACTGGGTATCATTGGATTTGTCTCTTCCCAAAGAATCTTTTTGGTCTTTACCGCTAAGCTCTATCTCCAACAGGAACGAAATGGCGCGGGGGGGGTGTGTGGCAACCACCCCCCCCCCCCATGTGCGTTCTAGGATGGGAAAATGGCATGTGCGGGCGAGGGTTAAGTCTCATTCCATTGTGGCAGAACCACTGATACATTCGACCCAGTGCATCCTCCATACGCGCGGTCAACAGATTCAAGTCGCTCTTCTTGCCAGTAACCATCAGCTGGGTGTCATCAGCATACTGGACTACCGTGACGTCATCGGGAACACACAGACACAGATCGTTTGAGTACAGCATGTACATGAGACAACTCAGGGCGCCGCCTTGGTATACGCCAATCGCGTTAGCCTTGCTGTCCGACAGCAGTGTCGAACCGTCCGCGCACCTCACTTGGACCTGCTGCGAGTGGTGAGCCAAATAGGCACGGAACCATGTGGTTTCAATACCGTACACAGACAATTTGTCGAGAAGTGTAACATGAGGAACAACATCAACATTTTGAGAGGTCTAGTAGTACCAAGATACAAATGTTACCATTGTCCATTGCCTGAAGAGCATGATCAGTAAAGACGTGAAGCGCGGTTTCCGTTGAACGTTGTTTTCTATAACCGTGTTGGGCGTCCGAGAGAAGGAAATTTTCTTCGAGATAAGAGACCAACTGTTTTTGCACGACACGTTCAACTAATTTCATAATCGCAGGCAGGATGGAGATGGGACGCGTGTCGGACGGCTCGGTAGCCCTCGTTCCTTTCGGAATTGGGGTAACCAGAGCGTGTTTCCAGTCCTGCGGTACTACTCCGTTAGAAAGGCTGGAGTTCACAACATTTAAATAACCAGGCATTTAAATAACCAGACAGGTAGGAAATCAGACAGGTATAAGAGCAAAACCGCAAAAATATCCAACTTTTTCAGTTAATTACATACATGCAACACCAATTTAAAGATAGTCAGACTCGATGCATGTGTATCCATCCTATCAACAAGTTCTAAGCAGCCCGCCAGCGACTCTCTTGGCCTCCGGCCCATTTTGCCATCAGTAGTCAGTACCGCATATCATATTCACTGATCCCACTAGCCTTCACTGATATCTCGTACCCTTTGACATCGGCTCTACGCCGAAGTAACTTATTGCAGTTTGATTATTCATCGAAAAGTCTATACGTCTTCTTAAACGTAGGCATGCAATCAGACTCTTTGCTTTCAAGTTATTGCATTACTTAACCTTTTACTGGTTTCCTAGAAGAATAGGCATAACATAGATGAACTTTCTACCGGCTGTTTCGTTCTCTGCCTGATATGACCATTTTAGGACGGCTCTATTCTAATTGACGTCGGTAGCCGAGTCTCAAAGACACTCATCAGCTGCCATCGGGACTAATCAGTCGTAAATTAATATATCGCGTCTCTGGCCGCTGAAGGTCGTAACAGAACTGACGTGCACTTCCGTATATTGCAAAATATCCGAGTCAGGTCGCCAGGTCATAGCCAGTGACCTCAGCGCACAAAGTACATTTTATTCCGTCACTGCTTGGCATACCCTCATTTTGCGCCATGACAGAGTTTGACTCAAATGACAGAGCGATCGATTCAACTCCATGGATCACACTTTATTCCAACGGTCATCACTATCAGCACACCCAACGCACCATTGCTAGCTGATTAATGGTAAAACACCGATGCTACTTTACCGCTTTAGAGCTGATAGAACAAGAATCATCATTTAGCTTCCACGCCGATGGACTGAGACAGTGCAATGGATTGATGGTTTCCCTTGTGTCGCGTTCGTCAAAGGAAAGTGCGCTGGCACTGTCGTAAGAGGTTACTGGTCGTGCCTTTCATTGCCATATTAGTGAACAGTCAATGCGGTATTCGTTGCAGTCTTGCACTGCGATCTTGTAAGGGCGGGCCCTGAATAGCGAAACAACAAATACCTTTCTCCATCAAGTCTCCATCCCCGCTGCTGGTTGTGTAGTCAGTTCACTAAAAGTCACTTTAGGTCGTTAACCCTATTACTGGCGGTGGTGGTTGGGGGGGGGGGGGGCGAATCGGTCCCCACCTGTAGTTTTTTTTTTTTGCTCTCAACGGAAAACCACTTAAGCTAGGGGCTCGAAATTTGGTGACTTTTCCTCGCTATTCATTGGGCACATTGTGCAAAATTTTTGAGTTTCTAGCATGCAGAGAGGCGTCTCCAGGACGAGTTTCTCGGGGGTAGTTTTGGCCCAGCTTTGACAGTTCCGACATTTGCCGCTAAGCAGCGACTTGCTTAGGTTTGTACTGGTGATCAGTGGCACCTCCCGTCATATGTATGCACCTAAAGACTATGTGACGTCATTTTACAATGAAAATATTGGAACAGGCGGATTTAGGTGCCCGAGAAAGGGGGGGGGGGGGGTAATGTTAATGTACTGCCCCCGTCTTAGCGTGCCTGAATCCACCTATGCTCAACGAAAACATGTATTTTGTGCTCACATTGCATATTTTACATGATATATGACACAGCATGTCATATGACACATGACATACCATGACAAAAACTCAAAACATCATCCCAAGCTAGCTTACCTGAATCCGCCTATGATTTTTGAAATATCCAAAATACCGGAAAATATAAATGAAGAATAATAAATATAAAAATAAAGGAAAATATAAAAATATAAATGAAGAAGTTCATGAAGAAGGTTCCCCTAAAGTTTCATCAAAATCGGTCAAAAAGAAAGAAGTTATAACTTATAACATTATTAGTGATGAGGTGTAAAACGCAATTTTTCGAAAAATTTTGCTTCCAGGACCCCCATTTTTGGGCTTTTTATAGTCAATCTGAGAGTTCACGATGAGAGCGATCGAATGACGTTTGTCCCATAAAGATCGGACATTTAGTTTTCGAGATATCAAGGGGGCCAATTGCCCCCCTCCCTCCACCAGTTAACGTAGTCTAGAAAGCCCACCAGTGATAGGGTTAAAGGTCCAGCCGGACCTGTGAACAGTACCCTGCATTGAAACTATGGTCAACAAAAGGTCGGCTCTTTCCTGCAAACAATCGAATGAATTAGCATCACTCAACAACAAATGTAAACGTTAGGTACTTCTTGATGCAAAATAGGTAGTACGTTCGTGACTGCGTTCGTTTCATGGTTATACAACTGTAGGGTGAGGGTGACTCCACTCAAAAATGTGAAGGACAATGACAATTTCCCGTCATATTTTCTACGTTTTAGGCACGCTCGCAATGTGAGGGAATCACGCAACACCAAATACAGAAGAAAAGTGAAGAAACTTCGTGATGGGACTGGTCCGCAGACTGGCACTACCTGTCGCCTCAAAATGTTATGTAAAATATAACGCAGGCACATTAAAGCCCTGTGGAGGTTCGAAAATAAAGATAACTCAAGTGTCAATGTCTTTTACGCATCTGATCGATCAGTCTTCAGAGAGTAGTATTTTCCGTCTTTGTGTCCCCGTCACACGAGTTGCCTTGGCTAGTGGAGGGTTGCGAACTCAAACTTCTTCTTGTATCCTTGATCCCATTTTTTGAACCAACATCTCGCCTCAGCGGTGGAAGAGATGTAGCGACGGGGGTAGCCCACATGGTCTTCTCCTTGCAGCCGCGTACTGGTCTTAGTCGACCCAAGAGCAGCTCAACCATGAATGCGACACTGGAGGCAATAAGACCGAGTACCAGAAGACTAAGTGGTGCTTGCATATGTGATAGATTGAGTGAGAGCGCGTCAGTGTGCCCCTGACTCTCCGCCGCGCGACAACCTTGGCGACGTTGTACACCTGCGAGGACATCGTCAAACATCTTGTCCACGAGACCGGCCTGGATGGCACGTTGGATCATCTGGTTTAGTTTACCGGTGAGCGGAGAGTATTTGGGTAGACCAAGCGCTACGCTGAAAGGGATGTAGCACTCGCGGGATACGTGCATGGACTCGATGCCACGTGAGTCAGTGAAGTCTGTCACCACCAGATACTGTAGCGATTGCTTCGAGTTGATGAAGGCGAAGCGGGACCGTCGTGAACGTTCTACGCCCTCGGAGAAGCTCCTGACGAACTGCATCCCGTCGGCGAGACGGCGTGCCACTGGATCGGGAGAGTCTTGGAACCAGGCTTCCCATCCACCGCCTGCGCGAACCCCCCAAGTCAGTCCGCTTGCAAGGAGCTGATGCGTGGTGTCCAGAGGTACTGCCGGTGCTGGCGCCGACAGGTACGCCACCAAGTTAGCCCGGTATGCATATGCCACTACCATCGCCAGCACCCAGAACTGGCCTAGGAACAGCTGCGCTCTCCGAAGCCTCGGTACAGCCTCCATGGCTTCCTGCATCAGCACACCGAACCCGTAGAACGCAGTGTAGGTGAAGCTCTTAAAGCGACGATCTGCGGTACCAGACAGCGCCCACAGCACGGGAACAGAGGCGACGAAAGCGAAAATCGTGGCGATCCAGGCGCGCCAGCTGAGGGGCCTCACCAGTGCCAGGTAGTGAGGCGGTGGCTCCGGGACGGCCGCCAAGAAACAAGCGTAGTCCGTCATGTATGGTACTGTCATGTCGATACCGCGAAGTTTGTCGGCAGAGCGGAAGAGGTTAGCCATGCCGATGTCAGCGCGGTCGTGGTGCAGGTCGCCAAGAAGGCCATTCCACGTGCCGTCGGCTGCCCGGCCTCCCCACATGCCACCGTCGGAGGGAGTGCTGAAGTTCACCACGAAGTTGAGCACTGACGCGAAGGCGAGCACTAGTCGACTTTCGAGGCCGTCGTGTATCGTGGATCCATCGGCGGCCTTCAACAACATGTTCTTAGGTGGATAGTGAAAAGTTACAGCCTTTAATCTGCGTCCACCCAGGTCGGACAATTTGTCTGGGAACAGCTCCTCGTCTGGCCACAGTCGGGACGCCGCGAAGTGCGCCACCACTCCTGCTGTGATGCCCTCTCCGCGGACGAAGAATCTGTGAGAAAGAACCGGCACTGCAGTCGGTGGGGCTGAGAACGACGTAGCCACCACAACCAAGTGCTGGAGCTGACTTCGCGGAGGCCGACGCAGCGCCGCTGCCGCGAATGTCGCATTCTCCTCAGTAAGTTCCACGAAGCGTGCTTGTCTGCTAAAGGTATCGGCATAACGCTCCAAGAAGGCGCCACAGGTTTCCAGCCTCACACAGGCTAGCACGAAGAGCAGACATTCACGACGCACGCCCATCAGTCGGGACAGACTGCCATCAGTTTCCGTCACATCCAGATGCACAAGAGGCGCCGACCAGTCGACTGACGTTGCTGTTTCGACGGGAAGCACGTGCCTTTCGGTGGCGAAAACCACCTGGCAGGGCTGTGCGCGGCGTGATATTAGGGTTAGAAGGTCTGCCAGCGGGGCGGGCTCGGCCAACGCGGGCAGAGCGAACAATAGGAACCAGAGCATCGCAGTGCCTCTGACGGTCGTCCAGTGCAGGAAGTCCAACTTCCTAGTCAATGTTTCATTCCAGCCGTTCAAGAGTCGCACCAGTTATCCGACTCACTTCTTCACTTGTACAAGAAGAATTACAACTGCTCGGAATCCGTCACAGTTCCAGTCGCTTTGATGATAGGTTTGGCTAGTTGAGAACAGCTCCAATCGTTTGATGACAGCTCTAGCTGTTTGACGACAGTCCCAGCCGTTTGTTGACAGTTCCTCCCGACTGATGACCATGCCAGTCGCCCAGAGAGCGGAGTTGCTTTAGCCGTCCAAGGAGCCGCTCCAGCCGTCCACGGAGCCACTCCAGTCGTCCATGAGACCCCTTCTAACGTCCAACTGTCTCGATGTTCCCTCAATCAGCAGCTTTATCAGTGGTGGCGTCACTGTCGCTCAGGCCTCAGCCAATCGCCAGTCTCATTAAATCAGATCGACAAGACTAAATGAATCAGGTGGAGCTCGACTTCAAGCTGCTCAGACATTCATATAACGGTTAATTTTTCGTCGTTGCGGATTAAACCTTTCGGAAGCAGAATTGTTGAACTTGCTTTCGTATGAGCTAGTGGGGTTGCAAAATGTCACCGTCGGTGACCGTTGTCTTTGCGGTTTGAAGTTTCAGATGGATCGATAGCATCTTTTCAGCTGCAAACGTTAGCATCCACTATTACAATTCAACTCGAGAGGTCAAGTAAATGTTAGACCTTTGCAGACGGGTCAGTCGTTAGAGTGTGATTTTGGCAAATGACGGATAGAAAATGCCTGAGTATTTCAGCGGATCCAAATTCCCTTACTAATTAAAGCTTAATTTCGGCGAGCGTGATTTGAGAATTATCCGTGAAGACATAATCATGATAGAACATCATAGGCGGCGGAACGGGGGGGGGGGGGACACCGGGGCACCGTGTTCCCCTTTGATTTTGGCATTTTAACAATAGCCCTATGGGCGTTCCATAGAAATAATGGGACCAAGTCAGCAGTGCCCCCCTCCCCCCCCCCCAATTGAAGGTGTTCTGCCGCCACTGTAGAATACCATGCAGCGAGTGTCATTTGAAAAACCACCGTAGCAAATTGCCGATGACTGTAAGCAAAGTGACCTTTATGTAAAGCTGCAGCAGCATTGAATGCAGTGATGACCCATTTTAAAGGTAGTGTGCCACCTTTGAAAGATTTCCCATTTTATTTTTCCTAGGATAAGAAGCTTCTGTTTTTATCTAATATCGCAAAAAAAAATCAAAAATGGGCCTGGAATAGTGCCTTTTTCGCCTAAAAGTTTATCGGTTTTTCGATATGTATAACAACTGTAGTGGGCTGGCCTGCAAACGGGCGTCGGCAACAATCGCGAATGCGGCGCACATGTGACAATAAGCAAAGGTCATTATAGAGTTACGACGTACGGGAATGAGTTATCAGCTGTCTAATCGTAGACAGCACAATGTCGAGCCGTAAACTGTAAGCCTGTATTGGTATTGTTTCTTTTATTTGGCTGTCGAACATTATTTATGGTTTGAAATATGATTTTATGTAAAATAATTGATATGAAAAAGCCGTCTCTTAACCCTCGCCGGCCGAGGGGGGGGGGGGCGGGTGCCGCCCCCCCCCCATAGGGTTTTTTCGCGATAGCTCCGAACACGCTGGCGATAGAGAGCTGAAACTTGGCATACCTGACCTTTGATCCAAGCCGGATCTTTTGACACCAACCGCATTTTTGGGTCAGGTCAGGTCACTGACCTATGACGTCATAAGTGAACCTCTGCACGGTCTTCAGATGTCGCAACTTCGCAACGCCCTCACTGCCAGAGGAGATCTCACAGGGAAATGAAACTTGCAGGATCTAGTATCCATTATGAGTCCCACAACTTGTATATCTCGGATTTTTCCTAAAGGTCATATGAGGTCAGGTCATTTTCGTGACCTAACCATTATAAGTCAATGGGGAAAAATGAAAACTGCTATTCTGGCGCCGGGAACGATCTCCAACTATCTCAAGCACACAGAATCGTGATTTGATGCACTCCTTGCAAGGTTAGATGCGTCACTTTTGCAATGTTGACCTTGCGTGACGTCATTTATGACGTCATCAAGGTCATATTAGTTTTTCGTCAATAACTCTCGATCAAATTTAGCTAGCGAGTTGGGAAAGCCACCAATGGACTCAGGAAGACCTGCCGAATCGAATGATATGCGACATGACCTCTTTCGACCAACTTCGTGACCTGGGGGTGCTGACCTGACCTTGACCTGAGGTCAACACCCCAAGTTGACCTGACCCGGACAAAAAGTACATCATTCGACGCGCCTGAGCGAGACGAACACGATGCTGCCAAAATCGGCGCTCTGCGACCGTTTTTAGCGAAGTTATTCAACAAAAACTGAACCGTACCTTGGGGCACTTGACCTGACCTCAGAGGTCACCGGTTGACCTAGGACCTTAAAATCGGGTACCAATCTCTGCGTCTCGTAACGGCGCACACGCTCGTTTTTTCCGCGACGCGCTAGCTCCACCAGGGGCGAAACGGCGAGGGGGGGTCGTACCCGCCCCCCCCCCCCTCGGCCGGCGCGTATGTAGAAAACCAATAGGTCCGGCGAGGGTTAAGTTATGACCCCATTTCACCACACTTCTTCTTCTTCGTGGATTAGGGCACGTACCATTTCACCACACGCAAGTGGCAGAAATGACAATGATCAGCTGACGCATTTTTCTTGGCCGAAGTCAGAGCGCGCGGCCCGACGCACCACCACCGCACCACAAAGTATGAGCAGAAGCCGCGCCCAAAGCCAGGGCCCCGGTAAACGTGGGGTAGCCGAGTCGGGGCAGCGTGCGCTGACCCAAGCCAGGGCCGCAGCTTTGGGCGCGGTCTACCGCATCCCCGCGGGCAGCCCCGGGCTATCACATGACACCGGGAGGACGCGCGGCCCCGGCTTGGGTCAGCGCGCACGCTGCCCCGACTCGGCTACCTCACGTTACCGGGGCCCTGGCTTTGGGCGCGGTCTACCGCACCACCTAACAGGCGTGTTCGAAACCGCAGGAGATGATGATGAACGGGTTTATCGAAACTTGATTGGATGAGCATATCTGTAATAGCGATTTCAGTGTGTGCATTTATTGTTCATAGTGGTGTGAAATGTGGTTGGGGTACGACCGACAACCCGTCGGGGCGAATTTCGCACTGGGGTACTCAAAATTTGAAGAATTTAAGACGTTTCCATGAGTTTTGAAGGTATGGATAAGTTCTAAAAATCCGGTTCTCCTTATCTGGGCCATTAACTCCATACGGTCCAGGAAAGCTGGCACACTACCTTTAAGACATATGACGGTGTGCCACGACTAGCCATCGATATACACTTAGTCTCTGCTGAGTGCTGCTCATTGTTGACTCGTTGGCTGTGCAGTCCCTGCAGCTGTTGTTGCGAAGTAGCTACTGGACGCACGTCAAATGGTACTGGTGGACGCCTAATGGACAGGCGTGCCCAAGATTACTTTACTAATAGACGCGCCGCGCGCCCTGACAAAGGGAGGAAGGTCGAACATGGGAGATGCTTAGATGCTTAGCCATCGATCATAGCAGGCAATCGATCAGTCAGTATAGATTATCCTACATAACTCTGGTGATGGCAATGGAAGCCATCATCTTCTACAGTTATACCTCTATCTGGTGTTCAAGTTTATACTGACGGCACTATCATCATACTCATGCCATGGTCTTCAATGATGAGATCCGTCTTATGAGCTTTCGAGTTCTTCAAGCTCAATTTTGCTATGATGGCTCTATATCAGAAGAGAGGAGGGATATTCCTATATTAGAGAACTATGGTGGCATATATGATACTCGACAGGTGCATACAGTAGGACAAGCACGCACTCGTGTAGCCGCCAGGCTATCCTCACTGAGGCAGTGTACCGATGCCCGGTCACTAACAAATGAGTCCGTTACAAATGACTCATTGGTGAAACTAACATTGAGCTTAACTACGCAGTTTAACATGCGCAGTTAACTACAATCTTCTTAATTACGACCTCAATGAAAAATATACAATTGCTGACATTACACATTCAATATACTTGTTCAGTGCTCCTATCGCATGTCATTTGATATTCATCAACTATTCTGTGTAGTCTCGAAACTGATTTCGTGACCCTTCGAAGAAGTGCTGTTTTGCAGTGTCACGGTGACTATATTTAGACGAATGACACAATTGACCATATCCTAACAGATGTACATCTCTCACAGACTATCAGGCAGGAACGGGAACTTTCTCACAAAGAAGATGACGTAACAACCAATGCAGCCTACTGCTGTCGAAAGATATACGACGTTACAACATCCTCGTGCCTAGAATGGAACGTTTAGTTAAACGGCCTACTACAGCTCCCGGCCTAGGAAACCTTCATGACACCAGTTTCATGACTATAAAGTGCTGTCTGTCGGCTGCCCCGGTGACAGGTCGTTTAGTGACTGCCCTGGCCCAGAGATTCTCCAGTACGGCGATTGCGAGGCCGAGGGCCACTCCCAGAGGAACCAGTGCGATGGAGGCCAAGGTGTTCCCCAAAGACATGGCCTTGGTGTCCGATGAAGAAGTGCACATGTTCTCGATGCGGCTGAATCTGTTGAGCTTTAGGTGACTCATCAGACCCAGCTCTGAGATCCTCAGAAGTTCGGCATACATGAGTCTCCTCAGTGCTGGCTGACCCTTAGCGATCACAAAGTAGTTGGGGGTGAGCTTGGCCGGCTGGTTCAGTAGTGGCACAAGGGAACAGGCGGCGTCTCCAACCTTCAACTTCAGTTGTTTTATATCAATAAAAGTCATCACCTTCGGCTGGGTCGTAAGCCAAAACGACTGAGCATCACCCAAATCAATGACGCCGTCGTGACTCGTTATCCTTCGGTAGATTTCTCTCTCGTACTGATCGGGGCTTGTCTGCCAGTCGTTGACGACACCGTACCCAGGTTGCATAGCCAGCTTCCAGCCTGGCTGCTCGGTGAACTCACGAAGACTATTGATCGGACGATGCACGGATACCACGGCGAGATCCGAGATCAGGTTGGCCGTGAAGCTGTTGACGATGATGATGTTGATCATCCAGCTGATGATGGTCACGATCCTGGCTGATGATGAGGTTGGTACGATGGCCCAGCTCTGTCCAACTAGAGACATGTAGTTGTAGAACAGGCAAGAGCCGAGTGACATCTCGGTCGCAGTCTGGCTCCTTTCTCCATAGCCCTGATTGAAGTAAATGACGACTCGAAGCGCCACAGAGAGGACAAGCAGCACACCGAACACTGCCCACCATACGTGGGCGTGTAGCGGCCTCAGTAACGATCCCACCATCTGTGCAGCAGTTTGAGGAACATCTTCAGTCCCTCCAACAATGTGAAAGGCGTCGTAATTCTCCTCGATGGCAATGTGAATGTAGTCAACGACAGAGCTGCGGTCCGGTCGGTCGAGGAGCCAGGTCAGCGCCACGTCGGCCCTGCCATAAAACAGCTCGCCAACCATGCCAGACCAGGTGCCGTTGGGATGGCGGTTGCCGTATCCCCATCCCTCCGGCTCCACCATCCGGTATTGAAGGTTGAGGTTCCCGGCAAGCAGCTTCCAGATGTCGTACAAGTACCCGCTGTAGGCGTAGCTGCCATTTGCCATTTTCTCCATCGATACGTATGGAGGATCGTGGAATGCAGCCACACGCAGCTCTCCGAATGACCCGCTGGAGAAGGGTGTCTCTTCCGACCATCTCTCACCCACTGAGATTAGATTGTCTAGACGCTTCATGACTTCCCAAGCTGATCTCAGTTTTGGCGATGTCCAATAGACATTTTGGAAGAGACTTCGGTGTTCGGAGTGGCGAGAAATTCGCCTTGAACGACAGGGAACTGGTGCGAGCCAGTGGTTGCTTGGAGCCAGCTATGTATGCACGCTACTGACCAGTAGCGTCACCAGGCACCAGTGCCTCACCCCATGTGCAACGCTGCACTGAGTAGTGAACATAACCGATGCCGAGCCAGCGACAGCCGATAAAATCGAACTGAGTGAGGAGCCTCGTTTGAAGTAGCACCCCGTGGGGACACCAGCTCTGATGGACGATTTGCCAGTCATTACTGTCACTAGACCAAGTGCATCATTGTGTGTTTGTACAAGACGGGTTTCCCCGCCACAGCAGCGTCAAATGGGAGGATAAATTGCTTTTGAAGTGACCTTCTATGCCCATGGGCTGTCCTAAAGCGTATGAGGACTCGAAACTACGAGAACAAGCTGAAACTACGATTGATCGGGTACTTAGCAGAATGCCAAGATCGTAATGTTGGTTATGATGATCGACATGACCAGAAAAAGCTCGCACACAGTGTCTTATGCATAGAACGAACTAGACGTTTGGACGATTTTTAGAACATAGTTTTCATTCAAATGTATTTGACCAGCATGTATTACATCAGTACATTCCATGATAACAAACAATGATAATGCATTGCCAGACGAGAAAGGACTCGAGGATCGGCCGCTTTTCGCGGAAACTCGTCTGGAATAAAACAGGAATGAAATGATGAAGTTCACCTCGCGGGCCGGGGGGGGGGGGGGTCAGGTCATGATAGGCGGGTGTCGGGTCACGGTTGGGGTCATGCAACGATAGGTGCCAGTTCAAATAACGGCGAATGCATAGTCAGATTATGTAAGTTATGAAGTAAAGTCGCGATGGGCGCAAGAACAACCCGAAGTGTGGGTGTGTCAGGAAGAGGAGATGGAGAATGAAGTCGCGGTAGATGCGTAGCCACGTCGTATCATTCCCGTTCTGGGGTCCTTCATACGGATATCAGCGGCCGTCCTCTCCCTACAGCGGGGTGGGGTTACGGCAGCACCAGCCCGCTCCCTTGGGACACCCAAACAGGTAGCACTCCTTGCCCCTCTCACGGCGACAGTGGCGACGGCAGTCCTCTGAAAAACAGACAGAGGGACATCGTCACCGAGCAAAATTAGGTGGCAAAAGAAGAACATCAGAAGAAAAATAAGAAAAGTTCTAAGTGATATCTCTTTCGTGCCCCAAAAGGAACGTTAGGCAACTACAAAGTGCACGCAAGTCAAGTCTTCATCAACTTTGGTCAGTCCGGCTGTTAGTCGTAAGTCACCGTACAATGGACCTTTCTAACATGAAGTGGTCCCGTGAGACCTTCATTTGTGGTTTCTAGCTAACGAACATCACGTCCTCGGCACCCACCTAAGGTGTTGGGTTGACGCCGACAGCAGAGTCGCTCGCTGGCGGCCTCACAGGGCAGACAGATACCCTCCACTCCGCACGGCTCGGCTATGTAGGCGTCCGGACGGTCACAGCTGGGGACTGTGAACAGACGTGGGGGGGGGGGGGGAGAGAATGGTAGAGAGTTACAGACGGAGAGAGTGGGCAGTTATAGACGGACAGATGGACGATCTGTTACAGACCCTCAGTTACCGGCAGACGGAGGTAGGGGCAGTGACAAGTAGGCCTATAGACCTACAGGGGCCTATAGGCACGATCATGAATGTGATATGTAAATGGGTCGATCATCCGGAGTAAAAAAAAGCGAACAAATCACATATTCAGCAATCTTCATGGATCATAATCGGTAGTACTAATCAGGGTCCGTCCTTATCACCTGAGGAAGGGACTCTATTGGTTCTGACGGAATGCCATTATCAATTATCGTTATTTTTTATTTTCTAAAATGGAACGCAATTCTTTTTCGACAGTCCTTGTGTGCTGACACTGGTCGATTCATACCTTCAGGCTCTTTTTTTAGAGCAAAGGGACACAATTTCTTCCAAATACTCACAGCAGCAGGCCCCTCCCGGCAGAGGACATGGGCCGCAGGTGAACCCGCTGGGGCAGACATCACCGCCCTCACCGCACTGAGAAGAACCTGGGAAGAGGGAGGAAGGAGAGAAGGAGATGGAGAGAGAGAGAGAGAGAGAGAGAGAGAGAGAGAGAGAGAGAGAGAGAGAGAGAGAGAGAGAGAGAGAGAGAGAGAGAGAGAGAGAGAGTCAGTCGTGGTGTTACAACATCGACAGCCTTAGCGGCACAACAATTAAGTAGAGCTCAATAAACTGACCCACAGTAGAAAATAAGTAATCTATAACAAAGGTTTGGGGAAGTTTATTTACTATGTTGATTATCTACTTCTAGAATAAGCCCACAATTCACTTGTTTCGTTTCACACAAGACGTGAGCAGCAGTTATGGCCCCACTTACGGCGCCTGCAGCAGGTGTTGGGACCGCACTCGCCTCCGCAGGTCTGACCCGAGGGACAGGCCGAGCCGCCCTGTTCGCAAGGGAAGTTGTCTGTGAAAGTAGGTGAATCATTCATTATTACAGCCTTAACTCTAGTTTTTTTTTCGCTAGATATTATATGAACTAATAATTTTGTCAACATCTAGGTTTGGCCATATCATTTAATGCTGTGTAGTGCCCTGCGGATGTTGAAAATGGGACTCACCATTCCCTTTTTATAAAGTTTTACATGTTTTAATTCTCCACTAAGTTTTACTAAGTTACTAGAGTTAACCATCTTGCTAAGATCTACTTGCCGGGACATTTCGTTCCGGGTCGGCACCGCCTTCGGCCACGAGAAGACTGCTGTTCCGGCTCGGACGGTCCCGAGGGGCCCGGACGTCCTGAAGAGGGCCTCCGGCGGCGGCCCGGTCGCGACTGACCCCCCTCCGAGGGGTCAGTGGGTGCCTCCGGTCCCGACTCCGGCCTTCGGCGACGAGAGGGTCTCGACGGACGATCGGGGGAGGGGGAGCTGGGGCGAGAGTCGGGGGATGACTCGGGTCGCCGGCGACGACTGGGTCTCGACTGGGAGTCCAGGGGATCCCCAATCACCGCGTCTCCTGGTGGGGTGGTGGAAGGGGAAGCTGGAGACTCGGTTGAAGGGCTGAGGGGAGGCTCCGGCGGCGTTTCTTCTGAAGGCGGAATCAGGACGTCGACAGGCAGCGAAGACGACGTCTCAGGAGTTATTGCTGCGAATTGGAAAAAAATAGTTGGTAAGACCACGTTAAAATTGCACCGCAAAAATGTTAATACGAATTTCCAATCATTTCAACAGTTATTATGACAATGATAACGAAGAAATTGTCTCTAGGTTCATGAAAAGGTGTGTGACAAAACACAGCACAACGCTCGTCAAGGGATAAGTAACGATAGTCAGCTAGCCCCGTGTCATCTCCCTCACGTTTCTGGAGCAGAAAATCGACGGCCTCATTGCAGCAGCGTGGCCCGGGGCCGCAGACGGGCCCTCCGCACGTTTCCCCAGTTGGACACCACGCTCCGCCCTTACTGCAGTGCAGCTCACCTGGAGGCACTGCGGGACCGGGGAGAGGACCGGCGATCATACCTAAATGAAATCCCGTCCGATATTACACGGTAGCCCACAACATCAAATGGAAGCGTCCGCAATTTCTTTATAAACCTGATTGAGCGTAAATTGCAGCCAAATAAATGGAAGAGTGCACTAGTCGTAGTTTACCCCTTTTATGAAACTCTGCCATCCCAAAAGACGCCTTTTGTGAAATTAATCCATCCCAAAAGCAGCCTATATCGCTACTCTACCTGCCTAGGTATCTACTTCTAGGTGTGACCTACCTGACATTCCTATCGGCTGCCCCATCAAAACATGTAATCCCAAGCGGTTCCCACGCCATTTTCCAACCTACCTTGTGCCGTAGCTGACGTCAAGCCCTCCAGCAGCAGCACCCCCAGCAGCAGGGACATCAACAGCTGCCTGGGCGCCATCGTGCCAGACACTGACGTCCAGCAGCGTTCGCTCACTGACCAAGACGACCTCGCGGTGACCGCGGCTGTTCGTCGTACCGTATCGTACATCGTCGGCCCGAAGTCACGCGAATCCTTGTAGGGATCGGCGGTGGACCGCCCCCCCCCCTTGACGTGGGGTAGAAGGGGGGCAAACAGGACAGGTACAGGAAACAGGCGGCAGCACTGAGTCATTGCTGAGCGGAACGCACGGTGGAACTTGGTGTCGGTCACAGAAATTCATTGGCAAGTCCATTCTTGAAATTGATGCGACAGCTCAGAAAGGCAACATTTGTGCAATTGTTACCTGCTTTTCATAAAATGTAAATAAATATACCATAATACACCTACATAGCCATGACTGTCGAAGTTGTTCAATTTCACTCAAACGACTGTCTAGTAACCAAAGACATTCCAATTCTGCTAAGACTTGTCGGACATGTCACTAAATTACAACTTCCTGGCGCAAACCGTTTCGAATCTACAACCAAAGGTAATGCGTGGTGGAGCATAAAAGGACCAGCTGCAACGAATATTGAATAGGGTAAACGCAGGGCAGAAAGTCGCTTCAATTTAATCCAGTTAATCATACGTCAGGTGCCACCGTGCGCCAGCCCGATTCAGCGCGGCAAAGGTGTCCTGACTGAGGGCCGCACCGAACTGGCCCTAACCGGTACGGACGGGGCTAATCGCGTGCGCGAACCGGACTAGCCTAGCACACACCTGCAATGTTCCGGCGATGTTAGCTTGGCTTTTTTACACCCATTTGCATGTTCCGGGTACAATTCGGTAGTACTACTTACGAGGATTGGGGCGACTATTCCGCCCGTGTATTATTGTTTTAATTGAAGCGGTCACATTCTTGTTTTACCACTGAAAAGCTGCTAGAGGTTGTGAGTGACCAGTGGGTCAAAAGAAAGAAGATGAATTCGCTTCACCTGTACTTCGGCCGGTTGAAATATTATTTGGGACTATACGGTATTATCATGGATGAGATAATACTATATCATCCATGGTATTATACACGGATTTATATTGTATATTGTATCATACCATGGATGCTATTCATAATACTATAGGGTTGACTATTAAGTAATGAAAGAGCCCTCAGCAGTCAGCAGTCAGCAATGACATGTTTTTGCACGTGCACGCAATTTTTTAGTTTGATCAGTGATCACGTACACCGATCTTGTTTCTTTCCACTGCAGTGAAAACCAGATGTCGTTAGCTACATTCTGCTCTGAGTCATCACCGTTTTTCCAAGAGGTCACCTAAACCTGTGGAGCAGCATAAAAAGGGAGCCGGGCAATGGCCAAAACCGCGCGGCAGAGGTCATCAGAGCTCACAGCTCAGTAGCTCATTGTCACATCTCACAAGCTCAATTAGCTCATATTTCATTGCCATATCGCGTATGCCTAAATGCCTAAGCGCCTATCACCCAAGATCATTTTCCCCCTTGGTCTCGCGCATGCGCAGTGTGTACTCTCTTGAATGCCCCCGAACGCTGCCTGTCCGCGATGTTCGCCCCCTCCCCTTTGAAATCGATGACACCACCGACATATCGTCTGTAGGGAGGCTGCAGTCGCCCCACACACTTTCAAAAGAAATGTCTCGATCTCGGCAGGCCTTTTTCCTACCACAAGCTGAGCTCCGATGACCTCGCGCCACGCTGCGCGCTGGCGCGCGGTTTTGGCCATTGCCTGGCTCCTTTTTTATGCTGCGCCACAGGTTTAGGTGGTCTCGTGGTCTCGTGGAAAAACGATGACAGCTCAGAGAAGAATGTAGCTAACGACATCCGGTTTTCACCAGTGGAAATAATAAAATCGGTGTATGTGATGACATTAAAAAATGCGTGCACGTGCAAAAACCTATCTTTGCTGAGGGCACTTCCGTTACTTAACCCGCGAGTTGCTGGGGGGGGGGGGGGCGTTAAGCGCCCCCACTTTTTTCGCCGGGCCATAGCATAAAAACGGCGCGCCGCAGGCGCGCCAAATTTTGGGTACCTACCTGTAAAGAATTGATTTGAGTTTATTGTGAAAAAGCTTCAAAAAAATCGGTCGGAAAATTTTTGAGATATCGAGGTTTTAGTGACGTCATGATTTCTGAGTTTTCGACCAAAAACGGCATATGTTAAAAAAATCATATAAAATCACAAAATAGACATACAGACATGCCGTAAACGCCATTAGACTGCCAATACCTTTAACAATCAAATGGCTATCTTCGATTATTGATTATCGTTCCGCATTTTCCAAAATCTTGAACTGAACCTTGGCAATTTCTCGTGACTACTTCACGACCATGATGCATGCATTTCTTAAATTGAACTTTTTGAGCCAAACACGTACACACATGACAAAATGAATGTCACCATCGTTTTCTACGCCCCAAATTACCCATAAAACATGTGTCACAGGCTGCGAACATCAGTTTTGATTTTCGGGGACATGTGCCTACCCGGTTGACCTGACCTTGACCCTGACCAGGGGCGGATCCAGAAAATCTCCAAGGGAGGGGCCATTAGAAACCAGGAGGCCCCCCATAATCCCACCTGTTGGAGGCCCCATCTTCCCACTTGTTGCCCCCCCCAAAAAAAAACTGCGTCTATTGAGCTTATCTAGCTGTTCAGGCAACATCTCAACATCTGTGCAGGCTTGGAGGCCCTCTGTGCAGGTTAGGAGGCCCTGTAAAAGTGGTCATCTCTGTGAGTATAAGAGACCTCCAAGTTATGAAAAGCTTTACCAATCTTCTAACAAAGAAGTCTTCTCAGCTAGTCTCCTAAGAAATAACTAAGTGGGTAGGTTAAAAAAAACTCATCGGATTTCGGCCACTTTATTTTCAGGAGGCCCCCTTTTCAGCTTTTTAACTTTTTAACTTTTTATTTCATTTTTGAAAAAAAAAATCGGCCAAGGGGGGGGGGCCATGGCCCCCATGGCCCCCCCCCTTGTATCCGCGCCTGACCCTGACCTATGCTTGACTGACCCCTACATGGAGCTGACACTCTTGTAGACCTTAAATGATGGATTGTGCACCGTTTTGACAGAGTTTATGACGAGAGGCGCCCATTGCGAAGTCCTGAAGTCCATGCTACTGAAAGCCCGATTTCAGGTGTTTGAGCTGACCTTGACCCGACCTGTGACCTCAAAATTCAACTTTAAAGTACTCATCTGAAGCGTCTCGTCGCGTTCTTTCGTTTGCCGCCTCGTGCGTTTCGCTGCGTCTATTCGTTCTCGAGTTATCGGCTTGGGGCGTGTTTAAAGGGACAGTATCATCGAAAAAAAATCCATGTATGGAGCTGATTTTTTTTTTACTAAGATTTCTTATTTTTCTGAATCAGAAAAACATAGTTTGAGGACCGAACTCGGAGAAAAATATTGCAACCACATTTCATTTTCATGATTCATTTTCATGAGCGAACCACCACTATACAAGCATGGCCGCCAGTTTGGAAGCATGCAAAATTACTACAGAACTGGCGCAGCTAATACATTATTGACGCTACGCTTACGCGGTCGTTCTTCTGATTGAGTTGTCCTTAGGGAGAGGTAGCCTTAGGTATTGCATATAAAAATATAACGTGACAATTGGAGGGAGTGACAATTGGACGTGACAATTGACAATGGGAGAAAATATCACGTGACAATCACGTGATAAACGTCATACATTGGAGGGATATTGTGATTCAAGCTGGAGGAATTCCTTTGTTGAGCCGCTAGAATCCGAAGGAAACAGCGGAAATTGCCTAAGACTATTTAATGAACTTAACGGTGATGAATAAGTGCGAAAAACGTTTTGGCTTTATAAAATTTGATGAAATGACCAGGGTAAAAGTTTTATTACTGGCGGTCAATTCAAAACGGCGCAAACATTTAAACAGTGAAGATAGTGAAGCACGATTCAAAGTGTGGTACACCTTTCGTACTTTGAGCGGCGATAGCGGGATAACGGTGTGGAGCTTCGAGGATCGGTCTTCAGTTCCCGGACCAGAAAGGTGGGGCCTATGCAATGTCAAATTTCATCAAAATGGTGATACTGTCCCTTTAACGCCCCCCCCCCCCCCAGCAAACGGTAGGTGGCGAAATACCACAGCAACTGCCGGGTTAATAGTCAACCCTAGTAGAACGCGGTGACGGGATTTCAAGTCCAAGACCGAGGTCCCTGTTTAAACATTTCGCCCGAAACCGAAGGCTGAGCAGTGGCGTAATCAAGGTGGGAGGGCACGGGGGCCATGGCCCCCTTAATGGCAAAAAAACAGCTGCGCCACCCCCCAAAAATGGGCCAAATCCGAGGAGTTTTCCTTTTTTGGGGGTGGTACGACACTAGGCCGCGACTTGTGCCCCCCCCCTCCCTGAGCAAAATTCTGGCTACGTGCCTGAGGCTGAGGGGCAGCTTAGTCACTTTTCGGCAGAAAGTGGAGCGTTGTTGTGTCACAAAATTAGTTAAAATTGACATTTGTTCGATTAACAATCGTCAGGCAAATGTGATAAACGTCCCAACCCTTTCAGTCAATGCTGGTCAAACGCAAAAAAGCATCTGAGTAATTACAATGCTAGGAATCTATTTGAACCACCACTTGCATATGGAATCCATGAAGGACGGTACAAATATCCTTGGAAAACGGGTCGCTCCCCAATGAAGCCGTCCGAATGTAACACCGCAGCCACTGCTTCATCTGTTACAGAGCCAGTGTCCTAAAGCTCTATTTTGCAAGCAAAAGTGAGAGAGTAAGAGCAGGGGTCCTCAACCCATGCGCCGGAGTATCCCGAGTCCATATGCACGCAGTTTCTCGCTGTGTTGTCGACGCGTTCCGCCCACACCTGAAAAAAAGGAAGAGTGTTGATGTTTTCGATTCCAGTACCTACCTAGGTGCCTAAATAATAAGGTACCAGTTCAGGTTATGATTTGAAGAAGATGTCTTTCAGTTGGAATGTTTAAAATTCAGTTCAGTTTAGCTTAAAAAGATCCGCCCAAAACGAGGCTTTCACTTCTCACGTCTAAAGACTAGAGGCCGGGAAGCGCTAAAACCCACAAAAGTGTATTGATTGCTGCACTTATCTACCTTCGAATGGTATGTCTTCGAAATATGTGTTCATAGATAGACATCACTGGATTTGTGGCTTTTATTTTTTTCTTTCGCTGAAACTCTGACATTGAAAACTGTGGTTGCTCATTACGTCGCCCATCTACTCATGGTCAGTCACTGAAACCCGACATAGCCTTTGACCTGACTTATATAAAGCCTCTAACATGACATAAAGCCTTTGACCAGATATATCCCGCGACCGCGTAAAAGGGTCGGACCCGAACCCCC